GTTCGTAGGTGTTCAGAATGGTTTGATCCCTATTCAGCTGAATTCCTGAGACCAGACGAAATCCAGGTCTCCTACTCCTCCGCCATCTTGCTCCCTTCTCCCATCAGAAGAACTTCTCTTAGTATTTCTTAAAATGTAGGTGTGCTGGAGACAAATTCTCTCATCTTACCAATGTCAGGTAAGAATCAGTAATTTTTTTCTTCCTCATAATATGAGGAACTTATTAGTTTTTGATACCCAAAGTCCTTCTGCCATCTCTCTCCCCAGTGTTTCTTGTTAAAATTGGAGATTTTAGGGATTCCTGGGTGGCTCAGTCGGCTAAGCATCTGCCTTTGGCTCAGGTCATTATGCTAGGGTCCTGGGATCGAGCCCATTGTCGGGCTCTCTGCTCAGTGGGGAGCCTGCTTCTCTCTCTCCCTCTGCCCCTCCCCTGTTTGTGCGCTCACTTGCGTGTGCGCTTTCTCTCTGTATCAAATAAATAAATAAAATCTTTTTAAAAAATTGGAGATTTTAAATCCAAATATTGTAATTTAATGCATCATTTTCATATTTTCTTTCAAGATCAGTTTGGACATTTGCTTTCAGTTTGTAATCATATTTGCAATTATGTGAACATTTTAATTTTATGATCATTTTATAAGATTTTTCTAGTTGTTTAGTTTTTAATTCTGATTCATCTTTTGGTCCATTGAATAGGCCTTCAAAATAATGTTTTCAAGAAGAACACACAAGTGACATTTTCTAAGCCCGTGTATATTGGAAACATGTTTTTGTTGCCTTTACAGGTGAACAATACCATAAAATTGTTTACTATTGCCTAAGTATTTATTTCTGCCCCCCCTCACTGGCATTTGGTAAGAAGTTGAGAGGCTACTTTCATATGCCATTTTAACCTATAAACCCCTTACTTAGAATTTTATGCTAGCTATAGTCTTCAAACTGAAGATAATGTTCTTCAAAATAAATGTAATTTCAAACCTCTTTTTTTTTTTTTCTATCGACGAGGTGATTCCACAGAATGAAACTGGTATTAACTAGGGAAAAAACCAAACCTGTAGTCATGAGGATTTGGGGAATATTCAAAGTTATTGAATAAATAAGGAATTCCCCAGGATTTATAGAATTTCAGGGAAAGTTTATAAAAGAGTTTTTCAGTCAGTCGGACAATATACCTTTCTGAGGTCCACATCATATGTCCAAAAGGCTTTTAGAACTTTCTTCTCAATTTCCCTGGCTATCACAAGCCTTTCCATCTCATTCAGAAATGAACCCTTAAAATCTAGCAAGATACTAAAAGCATTGCTGCTTATCTCGTGCCAGAGTCATCAGCTTGTAACAATTGGCTCCTGAGAACTGTCCCTTCCCAATCGCTGTTCGAGTAAGGAACTGTATTTTTTGGCAGTGAACTTCTGCTTTCTCACTTTTACCCTTGTGCTAGGTCCTGTGGCTTCGACTATTTTGAGAATGATAGTGATCCCATTCAACTTATGTCTTTCTTGCATCAAGTACCTCTATCAGCCCACAACCTATTTCCTTTGAGATTATTTTTTCTTTATTGGAAGCTCTTTCTTGTGCTGCCAAAGCCAGTTTGAGCTATCTCCTCTTCCTCGGCCTTTGCTGTGGATGCATACATTTAGATACCACACTCATTTTTAAAACTATCCAAGAATTTGTAAGACATTGGTACCAAATTCTGCCTTCACATTATTTATTTATCAAGTCAGAGAGTCACATGCTAAAATATAAATTATGACTCCAGCACGAGACAAGGAAAATGAGCGTTTACCTTAAGAAGTCCTAGAAACTGCACTGATGAATCTCTGGGTTCCTGGAAAATTGCAGCCCATGGCCTGCCTTGTGGTCCTCAGACTAAGCAGCTTCCTTGTCACCTGGGAGCCTGTTAAAGAATGCAGGATCTCGGGCCCCGCTCCCCACCTACAGAACAAGGGACTCTGCATTTTAATGAGATCTGCAGGGGATGGTATACATTTTACAGTTTGAGAAATACTGGTGTCTAGAACAGAGCTTCCCAGCAGATATACCAGAAGGTGCTGGTGAGTGGGAATGAGTTACAGGTATGCTCTGCAAGTTCTCCTCAGTCCTCAGGGCCGCCAGGAGGGTTCTGGGGAAGCTGGAGCCCCCCGCCCCGGGCCCACCCCACCATGCCTCTACAGAGAGCAGCTCTTCCACCTACCTCCGCATGCCTGACGGAAGGAAGCTTGAGCAGCTGTAGAGGTGAAGTAAGTGCTCTCCGTACGAAGATTCTCATGTCTATTTAAAAAAATGTTTGCCTGTTGCCCAAAATAGACACACTTGGGCCACATATGTCCCACAAAGCTATTGAACTTCCTCTACGCTGAAGCATCTCTATATTTTCATGTCTTGTAAAAGATTGATATCCCTTCTCAATGAGATCTTGATGGTCATGGTGACATGTGATACCTAGGAAAAGTTTCTCCCTTTTAAAAGCATGCCTTTCTCTTAGATGTTCTCCCTGCATTGTCTCTCTGGGAAAATGCACAGGGCAGGGTGAGGAAATTTCACCTGGCCATTTCCTTCAAGTTGTAAGCATTCCTACCCGTGTGTCTGAATGTGCCCCAAATAGAACTATGATCTTCCCAAATTTGCTCCATTTGCTCTCATCTCCCTGGGTGTTGCCATCATCTAATTACTTGAACAAGCCAGGAGCCTGGAAGCCAAACTTGCCTTCTCCCTCTCAGTCATGTGAACTGTGAGCATGCACCAAGCTCTGTCCATTTTACTTCTGAGTTTCTCTCAAACCAGCATATGTCTTCCAGTATTTTCTATCCAGTCTATTTTCCTGGTTCGAGCCACCAGCCTCCCCCTCCTAACTCGCCTTCTACCTCCACTCTTGTCCCCAAGTGATCACCTCAAAATGTAGATCCGATTGCACCACTCCGTTCCTTAGCACCACCCCTTCATATCTTCCCATGAATAGGATAAAAAGGGTAAAAAGCTAAATTCTTAACATGGTCCCCAAAGATCTGTCTCATCTGGCACCTGCTGACCCCTATCGCCTCCCTTTTCGACCATGCTCTGCTTTGTTTTCTGAGATCCAGCCCCATCAGCCTTCCCTCCTCTTTCCACCCACCACATGGCCTTTGCATGTGCTGTTTCCATTTACTGGGATATCCCCCTCCCCTCCCTACTCTCCATGGCCTAGTGAACTCTCGTTTATTCTGTCCCTGCTTACCTGACTCCATTGTGGAGGAGCTTTCCTTGATACTTCCGAGCAACTCTAGCTTCCAACATTCCTTTGTTGGCGCCATGTTCCTCTCCTTCCTAGCGTTGATCGCAGTATTAATTTGTCACTTTTGTGGATGATCGTTGGATTAATTCTTTCTCCCCTCTGCCCCAGACTGCTCCAAACTGTAATCCCCATGACGATAGGATCTGTTTCTGGTTTGTTCTCTCTTGGGTCCCCATTGCCCAGTACTCTTCCTGCCACATCACAGAGGTTCAAAGAAAATTGTAAAATAAATAACTGCATGCCTTTTGCTTCCCAGCCTCTCCCACCTGAAATGTCGGTTTTTCGCCTGATTCATTGTGGCCTGTACCAAAGGCTTACTAATAATTATTCCTGGCTCGTACAGTTCTTACTTTGGTATCCAAGCTTATGTAGCTTTTTATATCCTTCACACATTTTGCTGGTTCTCCCTCAGGAGGGCCTGCTGGAACCTCTGGGGATGGGGCTTTGCGGGGTGAGTGTCATTGAAAGATCTCATCCGGGGCCTTCTGGCCCACCAGCTGCCTTGCAGCGACGGGGTAGGAGGACCCTCCTCTGAAGCTCAGAGTAATTTCTTGGGGTGTGGGAATGTACTCTCACCAAGCACTCTTCTCAGGAGCCCTACTCTGTATCGCCTCCCTCCCCAGTGCCCTCAGGCTTCACAGATTGCATATTTATAGAGGACATAGCTGCCCTTTTTTACATGTGTTGGAAAGAGCAGATCTTCAGACCTAGAGAAACACTCACACTGCTGTTAGCTTCCTGTGGAACTGCCTAACACTTTTCTGGGGTGTGTTGATTCCCTACCCCTTGAGCTGAAGGCCAGTCCATTTCCCTGGGCATGTGAACAGCACAGGCGCTCAGAAGCCCTGAGATGGCATCTTGGCACAGCTACCTGGGCCACCGAGTCCCCCAGTGTTTGCTGTGTACCCAGGGATAAGCAGGTCTCCACGGCAGTGGGTGTTTCCAGCCAATTTCCCTCTGAAATCGGCACATTCTCCATGAGCTTTCTAGACTTTGCAGTGTTTCTCGCTGCTTGGGAACAATTTCCATCGTCAACTGACTGGCAAGGACTAGTTCTAGGGTAATGCGTGTCTTTCAAATAGCTTAACACACAATCGGGCACAGAGATCCAATGTACTTCTGACGTCATCACTTAAATATACAACCCCGCGGTGTTCCCAATGTAGAGGATCATCTTGAAACACGTCCAAAAACACACCCTAGTTTTCACTCCTTGGGCTTTTTCTCTACCTTTGGCTATCCATATGTGCTGATAGGTTATTTGAATTTTTCAATTGTAGATTAATTTACCTGTTCAAATCTGTGTTTCACAGACTTCCATAATGTATGGTTATTTTTTATTCTTAAAATGTTCGATCAAATTATCCACGTTCTAGGAGGCTGAGTGGCAACTTTGTAACTGATTTCTCTGCTTTTAGAATGACTAACCTTCCCTGTTTGCCCAGGATTGAGAGGGGTTCCCAGGACATGGGATTTTCAGTGGGAAAACGGGGAAAGTCCAGACCAATCAGGACAAACTTGTCACCGTACTACCATTTTACCCTTGATAGGAGAGTAGTTAGACCCAACCAAAGGTAATTATCATTCCCTGTCTCTCCTGCTTTCTTGGCTGGTAGGAATTTCCTGAAGCCAATACCTTGCTTAGCTACTTCTCTTTCTCTCTTTAGTATAAACAGCTTTCCCAAGATAAAATTAACATCACATGTGATTCACCCATTTAAAGTGTGCCATTGGATAGTTCTTAGGATATCCACGTAGTTGTGCAATCTTCACCCCAGTTCTGGAACATTTTCATAACTTCCCAAACAAACCCTGTACCCACTGGCAAGCAGTCCCATTGCCCAGATCCTCTCCCTGTTGGCAACCATTGGTCTGCCCCTGGTCTTTGTAGCTTTGCCTTTTCTGGACATTTCATGTAAATGGAATCATACAATATGTGGCCTTTTGTTTTCTGGTTTCTTTCACTTAGCATCCTGTTTTCAAGGTTCTTCCATGTTGTAGCATGAATCAGCACCTCATTCCTTTATACGACTGACTATGATTCCATTGCATGGGTATACCACACTTTATTTATTTCTTCATAGGTTGATGGACATTTGGGTGGCTGCCATCTTTTGGCTATGATGAATAATGTTGCTGTAATTACTCACGTGCAATTTTTTGTGTGGGCATATGTGTTCATTTCTCTTGGAATTCCTGGGTCATGCAGTAATTCTATGATGAACCTTCTCTTTTTTCTTCTTTTTTTAAAAATTTCATTTTATTATGTTATGTTAGTCACCATACATTACACCATTAGTTTTTTTTTTTTTAAGATTTTATTTATTCATTTGCGAGAGAGACAGAGAGAGAACAAGCAGGGGGAGAGGCAGAGGGAGAGGGAGAAACAGACTCCCTGCTGAGCAAGGAGCCCGATGTGGGACTCAATCCCAGGACCCTGGGATCATGACCTGAGCCGAAGGTAGACGCTTAACCATCTGAGCCACCCAGGCGCCCTACACCATTAGTTTTTGATGCAGTATTCCATGATATAACACCCAGTGCTCCATGCAATACGTGCCTTCCTTTTTTTTTTTAATAATATTTTTTTTAAAAGACTTTATTTATTTATTTGAGAGAAAGAGTGAGAGAGAGCATGGGAGGGAAGAGGGTCAGAGGGAGAAGCAGACTCCCTGCCGAGCAGGGAGCCCGATGTGGGACTCGATCCCGGGACTCCAGGATCATGACCTGAGCTGAAGGCAGTTGCTCAACCAACTGAGCCACCCAGGCGCCCGCCTTCCTTTTTTTTAATACGTGCCTTCCTTAATACCCATCACCGAGCTAACTGATCCCCCCACTCCCCTCCCCACTAAAACCCTCAGTTTATTTCTCAGAGTCCATAGTCTTTCATGGTTCATCTCCCCCTCTGATTTTCCCCCCTTCATTTTTCTCTTCCTACTATCTTCTCTTTTTTTCTTTTTAACATAGAATATATTATTTGTTTCAGAGGTACAGGTCTGTGATTCAACAGTCTTACACAGTTCACAGCGCTCACCATAGCACATACCCTCCCCAATGTCTATCACCCAGCCACCCCATCCCTCCCACCCCCTACCACTCCAGCAACCCTCTGTTTCCTGAGATTAAGAGTCTCTTATGGTTTGTCTCCCTCTCTGGTTTCATCTTGTTTCATTTTTTCCTCCCTTCCCCTATGATCCTCTGTCTTGTTTCTCAAATTCCTCATATCAGTGAGATCATATGATGCTTGTCTTTCTCTGATTGACTTATTTCGCTTAGCATAATACCCTCTAGTTCCATCCATGTCGTTGCAAATGGCAAGATTTCATTTCTGATGGCTGCATAATATTCCATTGTATATATACCACATCTTCTTTATCCATTCATCTGTTGATGGACATCTTGGCTCTTTCCATAGTTTGGCTATTGTGGACATTGCTGCTATAAACACTGGGGTGCACGTACCCCTTCAGATCACTACATTTGTTATAATGAACCTTCTGAGGAACTTCCACCAGACTGTTTTCTGAAGTAGCTAGACCATTTTGTATTCTCCCCAATAGTGTGAGGAGGTCCCCATTGCTCCACATCCTTGCCAACACTTGTGATTGTCTTTTTTACTATAGCCGTCCTAGTGGATGTGAAGTGGTATCTCATTGTTTGATTTGCATTTCTCTGATGGCCAAAAATGTTGAGAATTTTTTTCATATGCTTATTGCTAAGCCTCTTAAGTGGAAAATTATAATGTAAAGGATGTTTATAAATAGTTGATTTTGCACTGGGCTTAAGATTTTTTTTTTTTAAGATTTTATTTATTTATTAGAGAGAGAGAGCAAGCACAAGCAGGGGGAGCGGCAGGCAGAGGGAGAGGGAGAAGCAGGCTCCCCGCCGAGCAAGGAGCCCGATGCGGGGCTCGATCCCAGGACCCCAGGATCATGACCTGAGCCCAAGGCAGACGCTTAACTGACTGAGCCACCCAGGCACTCCTAGGTTTAAGATTTTAACTAAATATTGAAATAGGATGTTCACAACTAATTGCTGTTATATCAAATCATTCTATGTGGAGGTACATTTCCAAGTTTTATTTAAACCATTGACTTTTCCTCGTGACCAGAAGTGGCCCAGGGTAAGTCCCTTTCTCATCTGCTCTGATGTTGGGCCATCCTCTGTCGGGCCATCCTCTGTCGGGCCATCCTCTGTCGGGCCATTCTCTTCATCAAGCCTTGCTGCCTGAGAGGCTGTCTTCTTCTGGAGCCAATGGACTGTGTGTTGCCTGAATGTAGGCCTGGATGGGCACCCCTGGTGTTCTCTCTGTTGACTGACTTCCTCAAAGCTCTGGATATCCAGTCATCACTCCTATTATTTGGGCTCTGTGGCCTTCTGGGCACTTTAAACACTTGTTCTTGTTTTTCTCTTAGCTCTCTGATTTTCTGCTACTGCTTTCTCCTTGTCTCTCTCTCCAGTTTCTCCTGTGCACTCTATATGCTCATTTAATTTTGCTCATCTGTCAGCTTGTTCCTTCATGCCTCCGCTAACAAGTTCCAAAAAGATCCAAGGCACTCTATTCCATCTCCTGCCCTTGCCTTCTCTGCCTCTTTTACAAACTGGTCTCCTCTCAGGAAACCCCACTGATTTGGCAGAAAAGGATAGTATTCTGAGCAAGACTACCGAGAAAATGATCCCCTTGAGAAAGCACACTCTCTATCTGGAATATGTTTCGGGGTTCAAGAATGGCAAGTATTGGTTTTCTCCTTTCCTAGAGGAGCCCTGGCCATGGTTGTGTTGTGTTATCCACCATTTCTATAAATGTCTATGGATGACCCCACTCATTCCCCCAGCCTCATCAGCAGCTACACAGAAATACTGTTTCCACATTTTAAAAGATTTTATTTATTTATTTATTTGACAGAGAGAGAGAGAGAGAGAGAGAAGGAACACAAACAGGGGGAGTGGGAGAGGGAGAAGCAGGCTCTTCACTGAACGGGGAGCCCAATGCGGGGCTCCATCCCAGGACCCTGGGATCATGACCTGAGCCGAAAGCAGATGCTTAATGATTGAGCCACCCAGGTGTTCCTGTTTCCACATTTTAAAGCCATTATTGCCTGATATGTATCAGTCAAGTGGCTGCTATGTTGTAGTTTGGCAGAGGAGACAAGTGTAATAATTAATAAACAAATAAGTAGTAGTAGTAGTAATAATGGTAATAATAATAATAATAATAATAAACGAGCCAGGCACTATTCTAAAGCAGTGGAGGAAGAATAATTCCAGTCCGGTAGGTACTTTCATTATCATTTTCATGTTATTACCCACTTCATAAAGAGATTTAGCCCAGCACGGGGTAACGTGGTCACATTCATATGCCAAAAGGGTCCTCTGTGTCTCCTTTCTCCATTTTTCCAACAGGGATGTCCCCAAGGATATAACACTTGGGACGACCCTGCCGTTTTCAGCCCCGACCAAAGAGATCTGGGCTTTTCATGAGTACAGCGTGGCAAGTGGTATTTATCAGTTTGTGTATTTCAGAGCCAAGGGGCTGGAGAAGGAGGAGAAGTTGCGGCGCGTGGTCAGACAGGTCCTGAAGTGCGACGTGACTCAGAGCCGGCCGCTGGGCGCCGTGTCCCTGCCCCTGGCCGACTGTCTGCTCAGCACACTGTGCCTGGACGCCGCCTGCCCAGACCTCCCTGCCTACTGCACAGCCCTCAGGAACCTCGGCAGCCTGCTAAAGCCGGGGGGCTTCCTGGTGGTGGTGGACGCCCTGAAGAGCAGCTACTATATGATCGGCGAGCAGAGGTTCTCCAGCCTCTGCCTGGGCCAGGAGGCAATAGAGGCTGCTGTGAGGGAGGCTGGCTACTCCGTTGAGCGGTTTGAGGTGATCTGTCAAAGTTATTCCTCTACCATGTGTGACAACGAAGGGCTTTTCTCCCTGGTGGGGCGGAAGCTGAGCAAATCTGTATGACCCCTTGTGGTTTCAATTAAAGCGATTCCTCTCTCTGGCCCAGTTAACTTCGGTTCTTGGTTCTAACTGCCACGGTCACTGTGCTGAGTTGAGTCTAACGGCTCATGCAGGACAGGGTGGGCGCGGTCAGTCAGTGGAGGAACAACTGGGTGACCACCGACTCTGTGCTTCCCATGTGTGCTACGGGGACTCAAAGATGAGCAACCAGAACATCCAGCCTTCACTTCCCATGTTTAGAAAAGAAGACCCCCTTTTCCTTAAGCACCCCTAGTTTTGGCAGCTCATGCCCCCATGCGCCTACAGAGCAGTGTCTGCAGCAATGAGCTCTCTTTCCTACGGGGCCCGCTGCTTCCTTCTCTCAAGAACATGCTTCTCCTGTTCCTCAACAATTGCCTTCTCTGGGGACCCCATCCTCTGCTGGGGCCCACTGGTGCCACCACCACATCTGAGGGTCAGAGAAGAGCTGTCCCCTTTGCTCCCGGGTCCCAAGTGTGGGGCAGGTCCTTCTCTTCCTTTAACACACTAGGCCAAGGCTGTGACTTCTACCTGAAGAGAAGTTTAGGAGTTAGCAAGAGAGGTAACAGGCACTATCTCACAGCTGCTATTAGAAACAGGTATCTTCAGAGCTCACATCCTTAGAGGGTTCTGGAAGGTAGTCTTTTTTTTTTTTTTTTAGGATTTTATTTATTTGAGAGAGAGAGAGAGAACCAGCTGGGGGGCGGGGGGAGAGGCAGAGGGAGAGGGAGAAGCAGATTTACCGCTGAGCAGGAAGCCTGACACAGGGCCAGATCCCAGGACCCCGAGATCCTGACCCGAACTGAAGGCAAACGCTTGACCGACTGAGCCACCCAGGCGCCCCCGGAAGGCAGCCCTTTGGCATAGCTCTTGGACAAGCATCTATTTGGAGTTAGGCTTACCTGCCCATGGCATGTCTACCTTCCCTGGTCCCCAGGCCCTATCGCCACGATGCTCTCAAACAGAGGTGGACAAACTATGGCCCATGAGCCAAACCCAGCTTGCTGCCTGTCTTGTGAGGTTTTATTAGAACACAGCCCTGGCCGATCATTTATGTATTGTCTATGGCTGTTTGCGTGCTATAATGGCAGAGTTGAGTAACTGTGACAGCAACCATAGGTATGGCCAGCAAAGCCTAAAATATCTGTTATCTGGATATTTACAGAAGAAGCTTGTCTACCCCTTCCCTAGAGAGAGGAGTGTCCTCGTCTGCCAGGTCTGAGGCCCGTCTCTCCAGTCTGTTTCTCCTCCCAAGATTTCCCTCTCCCCAGGATTACTGACAGAGGACATTGCTGCTTCCCGCAGGGAGATTCCTGCCTTCCCCCTACCCACCCCTCCACGCCCTGACAATCACATCAGTGCCGAGAGTCTATTATCACATGTGTTTGTTCATTTGGTTGTATAGGACCATCATGTTACAACACAGTATCCGTCCATTTTCAGGATGTTTTCAATTGTTCGATCTCCTCAGACATTCATGTTATAATTTCTAGAGATTCTATCCTGAAGGACACTAACAGGCCAGTCCAGGCTGGATGGAGAAAGCCAAATCCAACTCTGTTCCTATGAGCAGGTGGGGATGACCAGGCCTGTGCCTCCTTTCTGCAGAAAACTGCTCTTGGGAAGAGCTCACTTGACTCCCTAGGAGCCACCAAGACCACCAAGAAGCAACCAAGTTTGTGGAGATAGGGCTCTCTTAAACCCAAGTGCCATTTACCCAAAGGCCACAACTTCTGAAACTTCAGGCATTTGGGGTACCTCCCAAAAGGTTGACCCTTACTTACATTTTGCATAACTGGATTGCCTGGTTTAAAGGAATGCTTTGCAATCTCCTTCAAAAGCAAGCTTTAAAATAATAAGGCTTCTGCTTTCATCTATGAAAATCTGAGACCAGCCTGAACATAACAGTTTTACAAGGCTCAGTCCCTTAGCAGACAGTCTTCTGTGATTTTTACCTCTAAGGTGACATTTATTATATTGCATTATAACTGTCTTATTTTTCTGTTTCCCCACAGAACTGTGAGCCTCTTGGGTTTACATTTAGATTCCCCAGTACTTTGGCCAGACATGGTCTCGAACCCTGGGGGACAGAGCAGTGAGTAGCAGATGGAAGAGCCCCATTCTCGGGAGTTTATGTTCTAGAAGCGAAAGCGGGGGATAAGGAAACAAGTCAATAAATCAGAGACTTTCTGATCGTGACAGAGCTATGAAGGAAAGAGAGCAGCAGAATAGAATGGGGACTGCCTAAGTGACAGAATATCTGGCTGAAAATGGTCTGAACAATAGGGGTTTATTAGTCTCACTAACAGGAAATCCAGAGGTAAGCTCTTCCGGGAGAGAATGGTGACTGCACAGCATCATGCAGCGGCCGAGTTCTATCCGTCTTTCGCTTGCCTTTGCCTGGGAGGGGGGTTTTCATGAGAGGAGATCTTTTTCAGAAGCACCCGGCAGGCTTCTTACATCTTATTGACCCAAACGGTAGTCACATGCCCACCTCTAGACCAATTACAGATAAAAACGGAAAGAACAAAGCGCACATTCCTTGAGATTCACTAAATAAAGGAATTCTTAGATGGCAGCAAAGAGGAAAAAACAAAACCCACTGGATTCAACAAATGAGCCAACATCTTAGCAATCCATTCTCTTTCTTTCAACGACAAAGATCATCCCGTTTTCAAATTCTGGCTCTGCCACCTAGTAGTAGCTGGTTCTCCTTGGGCAAGTTACATAACCTCTCTGTGCTTTAGTTTTCTCAGCTATAAAATGAGATTCAAGTGGAATTTCTTGCCAAGAGAATAAAAATGAATTGCTACGTATAAAGAACCTAGAATAATGCTTAGCGGTTGATAAGTACATAATATTTATTTATTGTTAGCTATAATCCTAATCTTCATCTTTGATGCTAGTTGCCAAAGCTGTGGCAAAAAGGTGTCTTGATCTCTAAGCAGGAGAGAGAATTTCAGTCCTGGGCTGCAGGCTCTTTTCTGGCACTGCCTTCCAGAGGAGGTCCGATAATTCTCCGTTTCCATGCCACATGACAATCTGTTTCTCATTTAAGCCATACATTTATTATTTATTTAGAACCAGGCAGTGGGTTTGCAAACGAATCCCCAGTGTCAGCAGGCTCAAGGGTCCCTATCTTTGCAATCACAACACTAACACCCCCAGTGCTTCCAGATACTTCCAAGGGCAATGCTGCAACCTGCCGCGGTGGTTCCCACCCAGAACCTGCCCTGGTCGGCCTCTCCGGCTCAGGCTCTGCTGCTGCTGACACGCATCCCTGCCTGTGAGTGCTAGCAAAGGGATAAGATGGTCTGTCTGGAGAAAGAAGCTGCCCCTCGGAGGCCTCAGAGTCAGGTGCTTTTCTCCCAGAGACTTAGGGAACACTTCCTGTCTATACCGCAGGTGGGCAAACTTTCCCCGCAAAGGGCCAAATAGTACATATTTTCGGCTTTATAGGTCATGCCGCCTTGATCCCAACTACCCGGATCTGAAGTTATAGCAAAAGCAGCAAAAAAAAAAAAGGGCAGCCTGACCAATATGCAAATTAATGGGCGTGGCTGTGTTTCAATAAAACTTGACTTATAAAAACAGGTGGATGGGTGGATTTGGCCCAAAGGTTGTAGTTTACTCTTTCCTGATATAGACCCTGAAGCCGTCTTGTTTGTACCCAAAGTTTTATAGGGTTTCTCATAAACATTCTAGTTAGTTTCTAAAACTCAGTCCTACCAATAGGAGCTCAGACCCAGGCTAAGGGGCTAAAAATGGAATAGGAAGATTTTCTTAAAATTACTCGGTTGTGCTCATTCCTCTCTTCCCCTCTGCATCCCCTAGTCAGAGCTCCTTCCTTCTCCCCCAGTTTGAAGGCGTCCAGTAGCTGCAGACGGAAAATGGGAGTTGGGGCCAGTTGAAGTCAATCACACCAATATTTTTCCAACGGCAGGTTGTCATTCATTAGGGCACCATAAAATTAATCAATACACATTTGAAAAAATAATAGAGAATAAACCAGAAAACAAAATCCCAGATAGTAGCATTTATTTTGTGAGTTTTTTTTTTCAGTTTTGTAAAACAATCATGGACTAGTATAAATACCCATAAATATCTGCTCCTGGATTATGATCTAAAATAAAATGTATTTATTACTGTAGTTTGTGATCACAAGAGTTGGGAAGCCACTGACTGTGGTCTAGGTGTCTGGGGCTCATCTCTGGAGGCCAACATTTGTCTTTCCTATAGAGATTAAAGGTGCGGTCTCTGTTCTTAAAGAACTCCACGTCACGGGGGAAACTGACAGGAAAAAACAGGTTACAATTCATTGCGATAAGAGCTCGAGATGAGTAAGCACAGAGCGTTTTGGAGCGGCGGGGGGGGGGGGTGTCGAGAAAGGTGGCATTTGCTCTGGGTCCTGCAGGCTGAAGAGGGGTGTGTTTGGCAGACGGGAAAGGCAAGGCAAGCTGAGGAACATCGTGTACAAAAGCATGAAATGGCTCTCGCTATCACATTCCTCACAGATTTGTTCTCCAAGTGAAGTCAGGACCTAAGCAAACATTTGGCTGCTGGGTTTTGTTTGCTTTCCCTGAAATCAAACAGACCAACCAAGTCACTAGCAAACACTGAGTAGGGGTCACTCCGGTACTAACTTATAAATCTCTTTGACCACTGACCCAGAGCAAGGGTTTTTGGTCCACTTTCTGGGAAGTGTTCAAAAGTCTCCACCTGAGCCAAATTTTATGATGCAGGAAGACGCAAGTCTGTGTGTAATGTCCTGGTCAATGACCGGGGAAGAGAAAGCTATTAAAAAGGTTGTCCATCCATTTGGTGGCGTGCAGCCTGACCAGCCCAGCCTTCGTAATTCCCATCATCTGGCTGTCAAGAGTAATAAGAGGAGATGCCCATGATATGACTTACTAGGGCGATCTTTAAAAGCTGTGACTGTCCCCTCTAATTTTAGCCTCAGCCACACTGAGAATACGAGGAGACCATTAAATCTTATGAAGCCTTGGAGGAGGTGGGAATAGCTT